GTTGTCGTGACCATCTGACCGGCCTAGATTCAATCTGGGTCGTTAGGCATTTACTGTAGCACTACGCATTTGGGCATACAAGATCTTTTTCCTATATATTTATTTATATATATATATATATATATATATATAAAATTATAGTTATAATATATTCATATAATTATTATAACTATATATAGCTATTGTAATTAATATATATAATATTACATATAATTAATATGTTAATTATATATTATAATATACATTAATTATCTAAAATCTAAAGGCTATAAAATTAACAAGACTAAGACAGAGTCTATGGAAAGCAAATTTAGTAATAATAGGAGTAAAGACAAGGAAATAGTTAAGATAAATAACTAAGAAACGTTAAAAAGAGTGCACTTTTAATATCTTGTGTCGATAATCTAGGAAACTGGAGAGATTGATGAAGATGTCGCATATAGAATTAGAGTTGGATGAGTAAAGTAGAAACATGCAACCAAAGTTTGATGTGATCGTCATATACCAATGAAGCTCAAGGGGTAGTTTTACAAGACAACTGTGAGACCAGCTCTTTTTTATGGAGAGAAATGTTGGGCAGTTAATAAACAATATACACATAAGATAAGTATAGTTGAGATGAAGATGTTGATATGAATGAGTGGCAAGGCAAGAAGTTGTAAATTTGAGATAAATAAATTAGGGAGAACTTAGGTGTGGCTCCAATAGGTAATAAGACGAAAGAAAGTAGCCTTAGGTGAGCTGGCCATATGCAGTGCAGACCCAGTACAACACCTATTAAAAGGTGTGAGTTGGTTCAAGTCGACGGCTCACAAAGGGCAAGAGGTAGGCCAAAAGGACATGGTTGAAAGTAGTGATAAAAGATATAGGGGCTTATAGTCACACTTAGGGTACGGCCGTTGATAGAGTAAACTGGCAGATCCGGATTCATGTAGCCATCTCCAAATAGTTGGGAAAATGCTCTGATGATGATGATGATTAGTTATTATATATATATATATATATATATATAGGAAATACGACGTACACCCTATCGTGTATTGCAAGTTGGTACGCCAACGGCCCGGATGAAAAGGGTGAAGATGGATGGCCGCTATTCAAAAGGGAAAACTCACACTGATTGACTTTTAAAAAGGAGCATGTGTAGCCTTGCAAACTCCCTCCTAGTACACAGAGATGGCATGCCTACCTACTGTCTCAGACCCTTCTCATACTCAATCTCTCTCTCTACCAATGCTACCACTCCCTCTCTCTCTAAACCACACAAATTTAGCTACCACTCCCTCTCTCTCTCTAAACCAAACGACCCATCTCTCCCTTGTGCCGTCTCTCTCTTTAACCATAAATACATAAATCGCTCCCAGTCGCCATTTATGTTCTCTCTCTGCTCCTCTCATACACAACCTCTCTCTCTCTCTCTCCATTTTCCTACCTCACTTTCACATACTACAGTAGGGAAGCCCTACCAAACTGCCATCTCCCTCTCATCCAGGCTTAGTTACGCCTCTCCCTCTCTCAGCGCCTCTCTGACAACAATAAAAGTGAAAGCCCTCTCTTGCTCGCTGTCATAGAAGTACGAATAACTTGTATTAGTACTGTATTTCTGGGTTTTTTTTTTTGAAAACCTTGTGATGGGTTTGTATTTATGGGTTATTGGGTTTGCATATGATAAATATTAGTTTGAAACCCTTGTTATTTGTATTTATGGGTTATTGGGTTTGCATATGAGAAATCTTAGTTTGTATTAGTATTGTATTCCTGGGTTTTTTGCTTTGAAACCCCTATGATGGGTTTGTATTTATGGGTT